GTGGAAGAGGTACATTCGCACACCTTTCGCCGACATTGTCATTGTGAGCACGAGTCTCAGCTGGGAAACTTCTGAAAATGTACCACGTCCACAGTCAGACGGTGTGAATTATGCAAACTGCAACAAAATGCGTCCAACAACGTCTCCCTTTTGATGGTACCAAGTTGCGAAAACAGGCGACTGCGACCACAACCAAGTGAGCCTGAGAGACTTTGTGGTCTACTAAAGCATCATGCCTCGTAGCATCATCATCAGCACCATGCTGCATGCTCAACTTGCACGTCACACAGTCAGCTGGTTGGCACAAATGTACGTGTGGCAAGTTGTCTGGTCGACGGACTGTTCTGCAGACAGTCTGGCCGGCGCGTAGGCATTTGTTCCGATCGCCCTGGCCGAGTCTCCAGGTCGATCCGTTTGTGTTTTCTTTGATCATGTCTCCGTGTGTCCGTGTATGCGTGTATGCGTGTGTGCGTGTGTGCGTGTGTCAGTCTCTTGGGCGCCAGAGTGGTTGGGTCCAGTTGGCGAGGGGAAGTGGAGAGAAAGCGTCCGAGATGTGGCCACTTTGTGACAGGAACGCCTCACCCACATGGCGTGTGTGTGTGTGTGTGTGTGTGTGTGTATATCTTGCTTTGTTGGTGTCATTTGCCGTTTGCGTTTGTATTTATTTACTCTTCCACTTCAGCTTGCTTGGGCAACTGGTGGGGCCAGTTGAGGCGTCTCGTGCACACGACACGAGCTCGACAGGCAGTCTGGCCTCTCGTGAGCGTCTCTGCAGCGGGCTCGGTACCGCAGCGCTGGCACCGCGACGCCAGCTTGGCTACATTCGCCACGGCAACATGAGAGGCTGACTTTTGCTTCCTTTTGCGTCTGCGTCTGCGTCTGCCTCTGCCTTTTCGTTTTCGTTTCCGTTTCCGTTTCCGTCCCCGTTTCCGTCCTGTTGCTGGTGTTCCGGTGTCCCAACGAGAATGGCCCCTGCGGGTGGCTGGCTGGCTGAGTGAGTGGGTGGGTGGGTGGC